CGGTGTGGTGCTCTGAGTGCGAGGAGTTCCTGTGCACCAAGTGCTTTGAGGACCATCAGTGGTTCTTCAAGAAGAGGAACCATGAGGCCAGGAGGGTGGAGGAGCTTCGTGCTGATTCAGCTCATCGCTTTCTGGAAGACTCCAGAAAGTCCTGCAATCTCTTTTGCTCCAGTCCCGGCCACGCCAACCAGGGTCACATCTCCAGGTGAGAGCGGTGCCTTGTTCCTGGGTCCCATCCTGCACCATGGGCTTTGGGGCTGCTGCTCCAGGACCAACGGTACTGGGACAGCAGAGTTCAGGGGGTTTTGTCACCTGCCTTCGGACCGGCGAGACCGCGGGCAGGAGCATGGTGTGATATGGGATTGCAAGAGGAGAGCAAAGATGGGTTGAATACCCAGCTTCATGCCCGCATCTGCAGCTGGCGATGTGAGGCAAAGCCCTTTCCTACCCCGTGCCTCAGTTTCCCCTCTCGTTAAACTCCTCAGCCCTCTCTTGGGGAGGGAGAATCATACCCAGCGCAGCCAAAATCCTCTTCTTGCCTACCTACCGGCTTTGAAGGACACTCCTATTTCCTTCCAGCATCTACTGCCCCACGTGCGAGAAGGCTCTGTGCTGCTCCTGCGCGCTGCTGGACAACCAGCACACCCAGTTCCGCGACGTCCGCGACGAGAGCCGGCGCAGGCAGGAGGAGCTGAGCGCCATGAGCCGGGAGCTGCGGCGGAACAGGAGCAGCTTCGAGGCCGCCTACGCGGAGCTGCAGGACGAGGCGGCGCGGCTGGAGCGGGCGCAGCGGGAGACGCGGGAGCTGATCGGGCAGCGCGTGGAGCAGCTGGTGAGGTGGATCCGGCGGGAGGAAGAGGAGCTGCTGGGGCTGGTGGAAGCGCGGCAGGAGCAGGGCCGGCGGGAGCTGGCGAGGGAGCTGCGGCGCGTGGAGGGGGTGCTGCGGCGGATGGAGGCGGGCGAGCGGCTGGTGGAGAAGATGAACCTCTACGGCACGGAGCAGGAGGTGATGGACATGCAGCCCTTCATCAAGGCCTCGCTGGAGGAGCTGCGGCAGGTGCCG